ATATATATATATATATCTCTGTAAGGAAAAAAAATTAAAGAACTAAAGTGAAATTAAATTTTATGCAGCTTTTCGTGTGTCTTTTAACCTTTGATTAGTTCCTGCTGAAGCATACCAAATAAAGATTGAGACACAGTTATTACCAACCTGATTCAGTTATACGAATAGCTCTGGCTTTAGCCAGTTCCAAAGCAGTCACCCACCTCTGACGTTCAACCTCACTAGAAGCCTTTAAATGGAAAGTTTGGGCACCACCATTTGATATGATAAAGTTTGATGAATCAACAGTATAGATGACAGCATTCACCAAACTTATGGTTCCCCTACAGGAATGAGCCATCTCAGCTTGATTCCTGTCAATATTTAAGAATGTGTATGAAACACATTACAGCACTATATATATAAATATTTAGGAAATAAGTCTCACAGCAACAGTTTCTATAGCAACACAGTAGTGCAATTGTTATATTTATATATATATATATAACGGCCTCAATACCACATAGTTGTAGAAACTCTGTTGCTAAATGACTTGTTCCCTAAATTATGAAGTTCACAATTATTAATTAGAGCTGAACTTTATCAACTAGCTAGTACAATGAATATTCAAAAGAGCTAGTAAATAAAATACTAACCCCCCCCAACAACCTAAACTTTAATGTAATTTGGTCCGAGGTTATTTTAACCTGTCAAATTGGGTAGCATTTTGTACTAGGTATAGAATCGCCAAAAATTGATCTTGGAGTTCCACTGTGGAAATGATACTTAATGAAAGGGATTTCATAGTTTTTTTGTTTGTTTTTTTAGCAAAATATTAAGTACAAATGAAGATATAGCTACATAAAGATCTATATATCAACAAGTATTAGCTATATACCAGGAAAGTAAGATAACTAGCATCGCAATGGTAAACAGCCTCATTTGGAATGTGATTACAAGTTACTGTATCAAGCTAAAACATCAGGTGGTCTATCGATACAGTAACTTGTAATCACATTCCAAATGAGGCTGTTTACCACATTTGTGTCAAATGGAAAATCAAAACCCTGATGGAGGTGATGTTTACGGAAAGTGAATATATCATGAAAAATGTATATGATGTTAGAGATGTTTTCAGGATAGACGCTTCTTTGATGAGAAAGTTTTAAACTCGAAAGTCATGTGAAACTGAATCTTTTAATTCTGTTGATCAAGCAAGTCATATGATTACTTTCAGCAGTTCAGTACTAAAGAAAATATGCTCTGTTATCTTACCCAGTGATACACACCAGTTATTGCTTCATATAGGAAAACATTGTAAAAGATAGAGAAACCAAAGAAATCATATCTAATAACAAGTTAGACAAATATGATTGAAGTACAATGCAAACCAAAACTTCTACTGCGTTATATTCAGTGAAGAGTGTTATTAACTCCACTGTGTGCTTCACTACAAAGTTATAAAGTTTTCCATTTGTGTCAAATGGAAAATCAAAACTCAATAAACCAGTTGATGTTTTAGCTTTCACTATTGTCAATTAAGGCCAACTAAGGTCATTATTAATAAAATCCATATTGTCCTTTTCATAATGTACAACTTTATCATTGATATTCACAATGTTCTCATTGCAACTTGACCATGGTCATTTTCTCCTATCATTTATAGCATTATCAGTATTTGACAGTACATTTTTTTGGCTGCTTTTCCCCACAGAAACTCCATCACGTTCACAACCACAATAAGAGATGGTAAGCATTATGAGCATCTAGGCCTTTTATATTTGCTAGATAAAAGTCCCAATTTGAACTAGAATTCAAATTCTTTTCGACAGTGGTTAAAGCAGTTGTCAGCAATTTCAAAAAAAAAAAGTTAAATGAAAAAACAAACTATTTCCAACAATGGGCCATTTTTTTCTGACCAAAATGCAAAACCAATTTGCAGATGTGGGTGTGTTAATTATTTTATTTTTTATTGGTCATCATTGTCACTTAAGTTTTTGCACTCTTCAGATGTAAAACCAGGATGCCATTTTTATCTGTAGATACCTGACTCTAACTGTATTTGTACATACTCTGTTATTCAAATTTATTCTGTACTGAACCATATACATTGACTAGCTATTTTACTAAGACCTGCCCCCTACACCACCAAATACTGGGTCAGTGCACCTTTCACCATGATAACCTGTACTTGGATGGCAGAAGATGTCTTATTCAATTGTAACCAATATGCTGAACACATTTTAGCAAAGAAGAATGCTAGCAAATATAATTTTTAATTTCTTCCCAACGATGCTTAAATAGATTAGGAACCAGTGACTATGTAGGCTAAGATGAATGACCGAAAACACTTGTGCTTTTTGAACCAATTTAAAACAATATGAGCAAGGCAGATTATTGAGTTTTACTATTTTTTAGAACCATGTTCATCAGGGCAGTAATGAAATATCATGAGGTGGACATGGGAAGCAAAGTGCAGGTACACTCCAAATGTTATTTGCCCACCATTATACTACCTCAAGCTAAATGGAACACTCCAAATGTTATTTGCCCATCATTATACTACCTCAAGTTAAATGGAACACTCCAAATGTTATTTGCCCATCATCATTATACTACTTCAAGCTAAACGGTACACTCCAAATGTTATTTGCCCACCATTATACTACCTCAAGCTAAATGGAACATTCCAAACATTATTTGCTCACCATTATACTACTTCAAGCTAAATGGAACACTCCAAATGTTATTTGCCCATCATTATACTACTTCAAGCTAAATGGAACACTCCAAATGTTATTTGCCCATCATCATTATACTACTTCAAGCTAAACGGAACACTCCAACTATTATTTATTTGAAGTAGTATAATGGTGGGCAAATAACATTTGGAGTGTTCCATTTAGTTTGAAGTAGTATAATGATGATGGGCAAATAACATTTGGAGTGTTCCATTTAGCTTGAAGTAGTATAATGGTGGGTTAAATGGAACACTCCAAATGTTATTTGCCCACCATTATACTACCTCAAGCTAAATGGAACACTCCAAATGTTATTTGCCCACCATTATACTACCTCAAGCTAAATGGAACACTCCAAATGTTATTTGCCAACCATTATACTACCTCAAGCTAAATGGTTTGTTGGAAGAATGCAAATGGCCAAATGCCTTGTGTAGTACTTAAGTATTTCACCCATTTGTAAATACACATAAATGTAAAACAAAACTCATTAAATGACAGTTATTCACTGTTTACAGAATGTCCCCCCTGAGCATAAATGAAGCAGTGAGTTCCTACTTGCAAGTTAATTGGTTTGCAGACTTGTTGTTCACTAATGTATATTGGAATTTGTAATGTCATTCAGATGGTAATACACTTTTCCTGGTTAGACAATTTTTTTTTTGAATTGCCTCTGTTTGCTAATGTCTTTAAGCAGCCAGTTAAAAAATAAAGGCTTTTGATAATGACATTTGTGTTAAACAGGCATGCACTATTTTGCACCTCTGAAAATTGAAAAGATTCTTACTATTACCCTAACTGACTTACCATGTTATGACCACATCTATACAGTTAAGTAATCACCTAATGCCTATGAAAAAAGTAGTGTACTAAATGTTACTACAACTCTATATTTTTATTTTAAGTGCACATACATAGATCAATGTATTAATTACTAATGAGTTGTTCGTCTGTCACCCTTACAATAGGTTTAAATATGAAAGGTTAAATATTAATAGCAAATAATTATTCTATCAACTGTATACTTTTCAACATACCATAAATATACATTACTTATTATAAGTGAGATCTTACAAATAGATTTGGTGAGAAATGGTTGCATCCAATCTCAGCTTATTCAAACTAAACCTAACTTTTCACATTTATTTACCTATCTATCAAAAACCTAAAAAATCAAAATACAACACATCATCAAGCATAGTATTTCATACCTCACCAAAGAAACATTTTGAGCAAAAAAAAAGATATGTGAATCTATATATATATATATTTACACCTATGATCCAGTAAACACTTTGGCCCTCTGTCTCATAATTTGTAAACCATGAGTCATTGAGATAATCCTATGTTACTTTTTATACGATTGATATCCCTCCTGTAAGGCAATAGTTGCAAATTGTATTTTATTAGTCTTATACAATTATTGTCTTGGTCTTAATTTGAAAATTTCTTTAGATAAATCTTTGTATACATTTAGCTCTTATCACAGAAGCAAGGCTCTCAGCTGAAGACTTTAGTTACTCTGTAACAATGAAACTCAAATTCTTCTTCATAACACCTGCATTGTTATACTCAACAAGTTTTAATAGAATAGAGCTTGGCAACAAAAAACAATTAATTGATGTAACTGATTACCTATGAGCATCAGTTACGACATGTAAAATAATAGGTGGATCAAATTTACAACTAAATGAATTAATGTCATGAAAATAATCAACTATTTGAAATTAGTGTTTCTGATTATTACCATTTTCGATTATTTCAATGTCCAGTAATGAAAATTACAATTAAATTGATTAATGTCATGAAAATAGTTTACCTAATCAAAATTAGTGTTACCAATTATTCTAACTATCCAGTAATCAAAATACTGACGTAATAATGTTTCATTATTATTTTTGATTAATTTAAGTTTGTTCAACTTAATCATTTAATGTCATGACTCAAGTAATTGAAATTAGGGTTTCAGAATTATTACTATTTTTGATTACCAACTATCTAAGAAATAAAATAGTGTCCATTATGTTTGTTATTAAGCACCAAAACTAGACAATGGGCAATTTGCATTTTTTCCCCATTGGGTAAGTTTAGTACCACTGAAGATGCTTATTAACCCTATCATCACAGGTCAG